ACCGAACCAGTCACTTTTAGGATTTATCCAAAATGTCAGCCCTACAAAAGTGTCTAGAAAAGGATCGGAGTATTTCTCCTTTCAACTTCAGCAAAGAAATGCAGTAATCAAAGCAATTTCCTTCTCACCTCGAAAGCACAAGGCGATCGTCGAAAGGAAGGCAGAAAGTGGCACTCCTTGCAAGATCAGCAAGTTCTCCATACATGCATCAGAAGCCAATGTTATTTGGGTGAACCCTAATACTCAGATAAACGATGCGTTGGAAACAGCAGTTGATTTTAGTAAAGAAACCATGACTGCAGAACAAGCTTCCCTGTGCACTARGCGAGACGTGGAAGAAGTTCAGATTTACCAAAGCATTTCCATTAAAGGTTTTGTACTATTTGGTATTTGGTATTTGATCGACAACCAGAGAAAATTCCAACTAAGAAAGACCTAACTAAAAGAGAAGGTTGCCTAGTAGATGAGGCCGGATCTGTACTTATTACMCTCTGGAATGAACAGATCGAACTTATCGCAGAAGGATTTTATGAAGTTCAAAACATTCGTCTCCGTCAGTACTTTGGAGAGAAATATCTTTCAGCATCCACCGACACCATCTTCAACAAAATTGSCGACAATCCACCGAAGACCATCCCCCAGCKGCACATTCGAGAAGCCCTGGACAAGCTGAGACTAGACGAAATATCATGCCTGGACATCAATTCTGCTGACAGATCTTCTATACCTGCGTCAACTGTGCTAAAAAAGTCCTATTTCATCAGGAGTCTATGCTAAGGTGTGCCAACTGCCAGTCTCGATTCCTAATATCGAAGAGCAAAAAAACCACAGCCGTGAGAGTGAGTCTGAAAGATCATGAAGATGGCTTAACCTGGTATACATTGTTCACACCAATGCTAGAAGACATCATTCATCACTATAATGAAAAGCAAACTCTGCAATATAGTCTTAGAACTTCAAGGTTTAAAGTTTAAACTCAATAGCACCAGAAACGTAATTGGTGTTGATTTTGACATTGAAAATTAAGGTTTTCATTTTGAACCATTTCTGAGGTCTTGCAACATGATATTGTCGTATAAAATGTTTGATTACTAACTTAGTATAATATTAGCTTTCCTTTTTATGGATATTTGATTTTTTGTCCTATTGAGTGGCAACACATTGAAATGAAGGATAGTTTAGATTTTCTAGTAATTAAGAAGTTACATATACATGCTCCGTTTTCTTATATAATAGTGTAGTTTTCTTCTATTCACTATGCTATGTACAACATTTGTTATTAAAGTCATGAGTAAATCCATTCGCCAAGTCATGTCCGAGGCCGAGTTAAGTCTGAGTCAGAGTTAAATCTGAGTCAAATCTGAGTCAGGTACTACTGGTCAGCGGAATGTATCATTCCTCTGTTCAACATGGCCGAAGGTGAGTAACAATGCGCCATGTTTTATGCARGTATTATATCCTTTCCCATCGCCCTTTGTACTTAGCATAACAAAGAATATGAAAGGCAGCGTATTCTTCCAAGGTCACTGCACTTTACTGAGGTCGTATTCGATTGATTTCTAATCTTWTTTTCGTAGACAATGTGATTGAAATAGAAGATGAGGTAAGGGTTTGCTTTTAAAATKATAAGCTTTCATATTCAWTTATTTTAGTGTTAAGACGTTCGACACGCGATTCTTTCGATTAACTTTTATAGAGTTTCGAATTGTACTGCTGTAAACGTTGAGCTTATAAGCAGNGGGTGAGGAGATATCGTCATTAAGACAGGGATCCCAGATGGCTTTATGAACGAAGCATGTATGGATTATTTGATGGATGGTTTGTTGTGACGTCAACCAATTGAATTCCTCATATACGAGTGGAGTTTACCTTATACCAATGGTTCGATTGGTATCTATTCGTGACCTCGGGATGTTGTGGTAGGGGTGAGGAGATATCGTCATTAAGACAGGGATACCAGATGGCTTTATGAACGAAGCATGTATGGATTATTTGATGGATGGTTTGTTGTGACGTCAACCAATTGAATTCCTCATATACGAGTGGAGTTTACCTTATACCAATGGTTCGATTGGTATCTATTCGTGACCTCGGGATGTTGTGGTAGGGGTGAGGAGATATCGTCATTAAGACAGGGATACCAGATGGCTTTATGAACGAAGCATGTATGGATTATTTGATGGATGGTTTGTTGTGACGTCAACCAATTGAATTCCTCATATACAAGGGATCCCATATGAACAGATTTTGACTCCAAATGACTTCTTGAAGTCAGAATGAATCTAGTATTGACCACCAATAGAGACGAATGGAGTTAGACTATTTACCATTCGACTCTATTGGTCTATATTGGCCATGAATGAATGTCTGCTTTGGTGAAATCATTTTCAATATGGGATAGGGTCATTTTTAACGAAGCAATCGAAGAGTTATTGGAGGGGGACGAATATGTCACTCACTCAATCAGTCACTCACTCACTCACTTTCCTGTAAACTTGAGTCTGCGTTACTTGTGTTCAGAACTATTTATTTATTCTCATTGTTCTCTAGTAATTTACACATTAAGTTACCGTTACCAGGTTCCCTGTTCTATATTTGATTGAATTTATTTTTTTTTTCGCAAAGAAAGAATTCTAAAGAAATGACAGATCCTCTGAGTCTTGAACTTCAGACCTCTAAATTAAGCAATGTGACAATTTTTAATTGCTCATTCTCATCCTCGTTGTTCTGAGGATGGCATAATGTAATGCTGAATCATGTCAAGAATGAAATATATAGAGTATTTTTTTTTAAGTTTTATTATCTCTAGTACTCTTACGAAACCATAGTATTTAAATTTGTTTTGTTTTTTGACATCTCCGCTGTGCAAAATCACAGTTGGCGCAAGTCAATTATTTGCTGCCTGCCCACACGGAAAAAAATTGTCACATATAGTTGTTACATAAAAATTGCTCGTGTAGACGGGGCTTTAAGGTCCGTTTACACTTGCAAATTTTGCAGCGCGATTGTCGCGCGCAATCGTCTATCAGAGCTGAACCAATGACTTAAGAATTTTGTGCCTGATCTTATGCTTTTGGTAGTCATTGGAAAGAGCGGCTTTTCACGATTATGGCAACCTCAAAATAACTCACTCTCACGTTGAAACTGCAATGTTAAACTCTAAAAAGGCAAGTCACGTGATCTTTTCTGCCGTTTGCCGTGYACGTCATGCTAAACCTCTCTAATCGCAGGGGTGTTTACACGTACGATTTGAGGTACGCGAGACCAAAGTGGCGATTGTCGCGCGACAATCTCGCTGCAAAAATGCAAGTGTAAACGGGCCTTTAGAAATCGAAGTCAGGGCTTCCATTCGGCCACGCGTACCAAGGTTAGACTTGTCTTTGAAGTGCAGGTGTTCGGACCTGGTTGTCAAGAATCAGAGTTAAAAATAATTAGTTTTAACGAAAAAGAAAACTGTATTCATAAATCGTTCATATTAAAATTCTATTCGTAAAGTATAGTAAAGTAATTATAATTTGTTTCGTTCGTACCGTTCAGTCATAAAGGTCGAAGCAAAGCAAAGAAGACTGGTCGCTCCTCCAAATTCGTCTCGAAAATGATTGTACGAAGMTGATGGCCTGTGGTTGTCGAGAACTCAAGTTAGTAATAAAATGAAACAATGAAGGCTACGTCAGAGAATTTTCCAGCTCTACGCAGCTTGCGATCAAAGGGACTGTAGTCTTTCTTGCACTCCTTTCATTAACGTTCAAAATACTTCTGAAATGAATTTGAAGTCGTGGCTTAAAGAATATAGATAGACATCTGCAATACATATGTTGTCTATAGACACTTACACAAAATTTCTTTGCGTACTTGCTTTGACAGTTTCTTTGTTATCTCCTGGTTGATCCAAAAATAACGACACTTATGATTTAACAAAAGCGTACCAAAAACACAAATTTCTCTCTTCGACAGACTCMGATATTTTAAGAAATTGTCTCTTTTGCCTTGTCAAACCGGGTACTATTGGGCTGTTTGTTGAACTTATTTTTAACTTAATTGGCTTGAAGACGAAGTTGTGTTTACTTTCGGATTGCTTTTATTGCTTTTTGACATTTGCGGTGATTTTAACTGCGTTTCGGAATTGACAAGATGTGAAAACGCTACCAGACGTGGTATTTTACATAATTCTGGTAGAGTTGGATTTACCTAGCCGGTTTTCGACTTTGCTTATCCACAACCGAAGTTGAGTTAATAAAATTTTAACGAAAAAAGAGCTGTATTCATAAAACGTTTATTTTAAGAAATTGTCCCCTTTTGCCCTCTTAAACTGGCTACTATTGACTGTTTCATGGTAGATGCGAACAAGATTNATAGGCCCACAAGAGACTGAATTTCAAATGTTCTCGGGCAATAATGCCTCCAATTTTTTCAGCTGTTTCACGGCTGWCGGTTTATTAATATATCTTTAGATATTTCGTAGTATTTTAGTAGTYAGAGGTTTTAMTGAACTCSTAGATTMACTTCGTAAAATTTTAGAAGGAGATAGAAGTTAAGTTTAATAGTGCGATTTTTTATCCTTGTAGTCTTGTGACAACTGTTGCGTTAGGCGCCTGACGGGGAGGAGGGGGRGGGGAGTTGATAAATGCCGGAGTTTTCTATTGGTTGACGGAATAAGTGTCATATTACAGACATATAAAAAGACCCACGAGGTCCTAAAGTAGCGCAAACTTTTCAGTACTGTTTGACTGCGTGCGAATCACCAATTATTTCTTCTGTTGTATTTCCATTGGTCCATTTCCATTCGCCTTGAAGGTAGGTCGTGGAAATCATGTACATTTGCGGTTCTCTAAGGATTCTTTGAAGAAAGAATCAAGCTTTATGTCAAGATTCTTGCGTCTTTCGGTATCTGGATGGATCGTTAGCGCGAATTGGATTTGCTGGCCCTTCTGATTGTTCTCTGCTGTGGAGTTTTTATTAGTATATTTGTAGATATTCTTCTGATGTCTATATGAACAGGGACAGCGCTATTTTCTTGCCACATCGTGATGTCTTATATCTGCTGTGCTCCATGATAGTAGTGAGGTCATATGGGGTTCTATCGCAAAAAGCGCAAATCCAGGTCGATTTGAAATCGAATTATGGTAGTTATTCATTCCAACTGTTGGTATTCGACGTGRTCGATGTGCCAGTGTAATTCGGTTAAGAGATGTGCAGCTGATGGATCTTACAATTTCATTTCAGATGATATCCTGGTGGTTATTTGGACCTATTCAATGTAAGTCAGCATTCGTGTATGTTTAGCTGACTTCAGCTAATAATCTTTCATGATCAAAATGTGCTTAATGGATTATTGCGTCCTCGATGGCGACATTGGCATAGAAATGGCCAAGTTGTTTTGAAAATTTTGTTAAAANCGCTTTGTTTAATTTTTTGACATTGATTTTGTACGTCAGCAGTCGGCGTCCTGTCGTGATCGAGCGTGATCGCTGTATGTATAGTACTGTACTAAGGACTTTACTGTGACCTGATTTATGAACAAGAAAAGCAATCAAGAGAGTTAAAAATGAAGGGCTCCAACTCTAGAACGCTGATCTCACTTACAAATGCACACGCCGTTCGTGGTAGGCCCACACTAAAAGATGTTCAGCGTAATTTTCGGGACGGGCCGGTCCACGATCCTATTAGCAAAGTTCTTACTAGTTCTTACCAGATCTCAAAATATTCAAATGAACAAAATACTACTCAGACTTACAATACTGACAAAACTACAAAGAGTGACCAAAAAACTGACTCCATGAATTTTGAAGTGAAGAAATCGGATGAAACTCAAGTCCAGAGTCACAGTAAACGAACAAGTTGCCAAGAAGACCAATCAACTATGATCAACAAAAAGGCCGCCAACATGATGTTGGATGAAGTTATAGACTTGCGTAGGACTCCAAAGCTAAAACTATTAATTGTCACGACTCAATATTTGAAATCATTTCTTGGAGTAAGTATAATCTGAATTCTTATATTAATGTTAGTTAGAGTCAACACTTGTAAAGGTGAAGAGCATTTCAGCAAGCTTTTTGTCATCTTTGTTGTAAGTTTTCAAATTATTCTTATCACTTTGGTTAGTTTGTTGACGTCTGTTAACGTTATTCATGACTTTTCAGTTTCTTTACAAGACTGTAATATACTCGAAAACACGGATAATTATTGTAATGCTAACAATTTTAATYATGTTACAGTGTCAATAAAAGTACYAAACTTTAGATCACGCTATGCAAAGTATGTATATTACAATTGTAGTCATGTTGTGTGTGAATGCCATCGTAATAAACGCGACCGAGAACCAAGCAGAGTACCTGTCAAGATGTTACGTCGTTTTTCTCAGAAGAACAGAAACCTACAGAGATGTGTGTTGCGTCGTGTACTTAAAAACGTACCTAKATCTTCACAAGTTCATCGTGTTCTTACTAGGATACGAACTAAAGTCAGGAGTAAGAGAACTCGGCAAAAATCTGATGTTGCTGCTATTTACAAAACCAAAAAGAAACCTGTACCCTTCACTAGAAGGTATAGATATATTAAACATTCAAATAAAAATTATAAGGAATACCGCACATGGTTAAAGCTGTTTTCATGTAATTATTTGTTACGGAATGAGTATAAGGGTGGAAGTCACACAGCTACATGTAGCAACAAACCTTACAGCTATACAGGGAAAAGCTCAAGTCCTCATGTACACTACGTTCAACCTAGTTCTTTTCTGAATCACAATTTTATTATAACTTATGAGCAATCAAAACAAACTATTAGCAAATCTATGACTGCTAATCGCCAACGTGTAAAGCAAACTGTTGACACACCTATAGTCAATCATAAGTTTAAGTTGTCACAACAAGAAAGAWTTAYRCATAAWGGCAAAAGCACAAAGACATGTATTTATTCAAAAAGCAAGAACAATAATTATGGTTTTGTAAAACAAAATTTGCTTTTATCCGGAGATATAGAATCAAATCCAGGACCCACATATTCGGAGAGAGAAAATGATAATTTACTATCCAATCAGCGATTGTCAAGCATATCCGTGTTAAGACAACGATTACTTCATTATAATTTACAACCTTTAGATGTAGGTGGAGACGGTGATTGCTTCTTTCGAGTAATTTCACATCAATTGTATTCAAATCRTCAACATCACCTAAATATTCGCAGTACAGGAGTTTTGTATTTAGAAGAAAATCCTGAAAGATTTATTGAAAGTAACATAGAAGATTCTTGGGTACAGTATTTGAATAATATGTCCCMTCAAGGTACATGGGCTGATCATATCACAATCCAAGCTGTAGCACTAGCATTAAACTTAAGGATTCATATAATAGAAACAGCACYGAACTTTAATGAAATTACAATTGTTGAAGGTATTCATGGTGATAATAGCCCATTGCTAGATGTTTARATTGGGCACTTAGATGAACTACATTATGTTTCTACTTTACCTATAGAAACATTATCATCATCTCAGCCGAATAGTAAACAAGGTAGTACATGTAATAACACTTCAGAAAGCATACACATTGATCCAAAAGAAAAACGAAGGATTTATATGAAGYYGTATATGAGACAGAAAAGGATAAGTGCGAATTTTAAAGAAAGGGAATCTCAAAAGAGTTATTATAAAAATAACAAAAACACCTTAAAAGATTCGAAGAATGAAAATTTCAAAAAAAACAAGCAGTCTTTTCCTGATCGTATTAGACAGACAAACCGACGAGCATTCCTCGAAAGAAAAGATTGCCAACCTGAGAATGTAAGAGCAATAAATAGGCAAGCTTTTTCTAAGAGGAGAGAAAACCAACCTGAGCACATAAAAGAATTAAATAAGCAGGCTTCTGCTAAGAGAAAGAAAAACCATGCTGAACTGATAAGAAAAATAAATAAGCAGGCTTCTGCTNGCTTTGCTATGAGAGAAACTTGTGATATTTTTAGCGAAGGCCGTCGGAGCCTCGTTCAGGTGTTGTGGTACAAATTGAATCCATATTGCTTCACCTAGCCACAGTTTTAGTTATTGAACATCAATAAAGCTGTATTCAATGTTTGTTACATAGTACTCATGTAGTTTAAATTTCAAATACCTTTTTGGAAGGTTTAACTTGAGAATTTTATCATGCTTTTTCAAAGATCGCATGTCATTAATACTGATGAAAAAATTGGGATCAAGGATAAAGTTCTGGATAATCGAAAGGCCAGGATAATCACGGATTATCAAGGTTCGAATGTATAAATAACGTCACCGTCTGAACATTGACGATTTCATATCAGCCTCCAAAATTGCCTAAGCTCTGGAATGCCTTTGAACATTGATATCAGGTAGTTGTAAAGAGAAAGTTCTCATTCAGATTTTAATCATAATGGGCAATGATCGCGTGATAGTGTCTGATACTTAGTAAGTTCCTTGCAACATGAGTTGGTGGTTTCTTGGCACATCCTCTATAGTAACCACAACAACTGCAGTTGATGAATTTTGCTTTCTGATATGCTGCAACAGAAAGATGTCACAAAAGCGTGTTTAACACTCGAATTACTTTCGCAAGTATCTAAGATGGTAGTTAGTGTTCATGAAGCCACAAGTAGCCCAAACGGTTGATACAAAGTCAATGTGTGAGATCGTTTATCCTTATGAAGTTCTATTTTTAGCTGAGTGAAAATTAAAGCAATTGAATAGTGCAGAATGAAAGGTTTTCAACTCCAGCCCTGTGAGGGTTCCAATAAAATTGCTCGAAATCCAAAAATTATTTCTCCTAAAAGCTGGATGTCTGACAGTGAAACTCCTATCAGTCTACAAGCAAACATAAAAGCTCGAGAAACGTTCAGCTGTTTCACTTGCCTGCCWCTCCGAACGTTCAGTGACTTTGTCGTCAACTTCGAAGACAATAGACGGATAAACACAAACACCAAACGAATCTTGCTTTAATTTCGGTTTGGCCGGACGGAATCCTGGCACGTCTATAATGTATTGCAGCTTAAAGTCCTCGTTTTTAAAGTGTTTGGAGCAAACAGCAGAGTATTTGCTCGGTTGCGAGTCAACAGGTAGTTGTCGCTTTCTCTTCAGAAAGTCGACCCATTTCTTTCGT